CTGCGCGGATCCAAGGGATCAAGACATCAGGGCCCTCACCCTTGTTGCGCAAGGGGAAGACTGTGGTGTAACGCATGTAGTCGTCAACAACCAGGAAGAAGTAGCGCTCGCAATCCTGTCCACTGACGCGAGCTAGGCCCCACACGTCCATGTGGAGAGTCTGCAGGGGAGCAGTCGTCGGGGGAAACGAGGAGGAGTGAGGAGCGGCGCGCTGCCGCCCCTCGACGCAAGGAAGGCAGGGCGGGGCACGCGAGGGCGGGAGGGGAGGCAGAGACCTGGGAAGACCAGAAACAAGGAGGCGGGAGTGCATGCCACAAAGGCGTGGCAGGGAGGGGTGACCAAGGCGGTGGTGCCACAGGAGAGTCTGGTGCGACAGGAGGCGACACGAGGAGGGGGCTGCTACCGGACCTGACACGGACACCTGAGCAGAAGCAGCTACCTGAGGAGGCTCAGTAGTCAGTGTGTACAGACTCGACCTAGGCCGACGGGTGAGCGTGGCTTGGTGACGGCCCGTCCATGTACACGTGCAGATCGACACACGCTGACCCCCAGGAGTGGTGGTGGTGACCATCGCATCCTGGAGGGCAGCGGTACTCACCAAGTTCGTAGAGAACGAGGGGAGTTGAAGACCTGAGAGTGAGCCGGACGGAACCGCCGGACACGGGAGAACAGTGGAGAAACGTGCAAGAACTGGGCCCCCTGAGGGGTTAGCCAGTTTGACTGGAACAGGTGCAGGGAGTGGAGTGAGTGTGGTACTATCGCGAAAGAAACAGCGGGAAGCACCTGAGTCAAGCGTAAAGGTGTGCAAGGCCTCAGCAGGCGCAGTACCAGGGAGAGCAGACTCACTAGCACCTAGAGAAGCAGCCTCTATACCAAGGTGGGGCGGCACACTCAGGTAACAGTCACCCTCCGCACTAACAGACAAGGCATACATGGCAGCAAGGATAGCATATTAGTCAAGAGCAAAGATATCAACTCCAGACCTAAGTAGCTCCGACCAGCGGGGGCGCTCAGCCTCGTCGCCAAACTCTGCGCACCAAGCGTCGTCAAGGCGGGAGAAGCAGCAATGATGTGTGTGAAACTTCCCGCATGTCTGACCAGCACGGTCACGTGTGCGAATGACATACAGGCAGCGAACACTACCCCCAGACGCCCCACGCTGAGCAAACCACTCACGAAGGTGCTGAGGCGTAGGGGTCTCGCTCCGACGCTGCTGCTTGTGGCCACCGCCAGAATCTCCCCGCTAAACAGCTCCACCTCGTTCGCCACCACTGCCGCCGCCACCACTCCCATTGCCGCCACCACCGCCACCCCCACCCCCACCGCTGCCACCACCGCCGCCACCGAAGCCCCCACTCCCGTCACCACTCCCACCGCTGCCACCACCTCCGCCACCTCCACCGCCTCCACTGCCTCCACCACCACCACCCCCGCTGCCACCGCCACCACTCTTGCCCTTGCTACTGCGGTGCTTCCCACTAAGAGCAAAAGCAGCCCCAACATCCTCAGCACCAAGGATGTCAACAGCAGCAGCAGAAGCGTAGGAGGGGGCAAGGGGGGAGGGGGAACACCCCTCAAAGAAGGGTGTGCGAGGAGTGCCCCGAGCAGCACCTATAGCGACTACGCTAGTCTCAGCTGCAAGGAGATGCTTCTCGAGAAGGTCGATAGTGAGGTCTGTGGGGTCAAGTGCGAGAAGGTGGTCCCTGACAGCGCGAAGAGAGTTAGGGAGGCGGGTGACTATGAAGTAGAGAGTGGTGTACATCGGGGGTGGGTTCCTGTCTACGAACTCGGCTGGGAGGGCAGCGCGGTAGCGAATGTCGCTAGTGAACAGGTGGGTAACGAGGTCCTCGACTGTGGCAAAGGCTGACAGCTCGGGAAAAAGGTAGGGCAGTATAAGGCGGCCTAGAGCAGCAATGGCAGGGGAAGAGTAACAAGCGACTACATCGTCGTACAGGGATTTAGCAGTCTTGTGCTGGCCAAAGTGAGCGCGTTCTGCTAACGGCAGGTGTTTGCGAACGGCAAAGCGAGTAGCAGCGTCACGGGTAAGCCACTGTGAGCGAGTCACACTGTCAGCTGTGGCGGGAGGGGCAAGAGAGGCTCCAGACGTGTGGTCAAACAACGAAATGATGTCTCTAGAATCGCTCTGTAGGTACAGCTGTAAGTCGTCGAGCCACGTATCGAACTGGATCGGACGGCCCTCATGATCGAAGGTGAGTACACTGAGAGAAGCTATAGCGGGTAGAGCAGGGTTGCGCGCAACCAGCAGGGCGGCACGCAGGCAGGGCGGCGCGCAAGCACTAGGGAAGCGCGCAGGGCAGGGAGATGCGTCGCACGGCTAGTGAAGAGTGGCGCGCAGCCAGGGTAGGGCAGGGCGGCGGCCAGCAGGGCGGCGCGTGGGCAGGGCAGGGCGGTGCGACTGCCAACAGGGCGGCGCGCGGGCAGCAGGGCGGCGCACAGCAGGGCGGGCAGCAGCAGGGCGGTGTGGGCACCGGTGCGGCTGCCAGCAAGGCGGCGCACGGGCAGTAGGGCGCCGACCAGTAGGGCTGCGCGCAGTAGGGCGGGCAGCAGCCGGGCGGCGCAAGCAGCAGGGCAGCGCGCGGCAGGGCGGTGCGGGCAGTAGGGCGCTGGCCAGCAGGGCTGCGTGCAACAGAGCGGCGCGCGGGTTGCAAAGGGCGGCGCGCGGGCTGCAAAGGGCGGCGCGCGGGCTGCAAAGGGCGGCGCAGCGGGCTGCAAAGGGCGGCGCGCGGGCTGCAAAGGGCGGCGCGGCGGCCAGCAGGGCGGCGCACGGGCAAGGCAGGGCAGCGCGGCAACCAGCAGGGAAGCGCGCGGCCAGCAGGGCGGTGCAAAAGGCAGGCCAGGGCGGCGCGCGACCGGCAGGGTGGCGCTTTGGGCAGGGCAGGGCAGGGCAGGGCAAGGCAGGGCAGCGCGACTAGTGGGGCAGCGCTATTCGGTGGGCCCTAAAAAAAACGGTTCTGGAACAGGACCTGCTCTGAAACCATGTCAGAATACTAAACGAGAATGAATGCATTGAACAGAGAGTTGGTACAAGTACTAACCCTAATTGGGTTGTACCGTATACTCCCGGACAAAACACCCCCCCATAATTGTACACCCCCGGGTAGCTTGTGCGGGCTGGGTGTTATGGGGAGCCTCGTTTCTACTATACCCCCCTTTTTTGCTGATTTTCTATAACACCCCCCTTTTCTTACGAATTCGTTATAATAGTCGTTAACGAGTAGCTGCAATATTGAAGAATATCGCGAAAATTTCTCCCTAGATGAAATTTCGCGGTACATTCACTTACAATCTACCGATATTTCCCCCCTCGCACTACTTCGCTGTGACCACGTGCAGGCGAATCTTCTGCTGCAAGTGGCAAGAGAGGTGCCACATGGCATTTTCGTGGGGGTGATGAAGCTCGTGGCCGAAACCCACATTCGCGCCTCAGACAGTGATGTTAAAATGAAAATCAAAACACCCACATTGTCTAATTAAATAAACACTAACACTAAAATATACCATATGTAAAGACCCGAGTATTATGTATTTTTTTCCTATGAGGAGACCCCCCCCATTTTTTCCCTGTATTTTTAGCTATACCCTAGGGTGCTATGTCCGGGAGAATACGGTACCCCTAATGGGCTACCCCACTACAGCCTACACAGTGTAAGCATTATAACATTTTGACACATCGTGCCAAAGGATTGGCGGTGTCGGTGAGCCTCTTGCGCAAATGGGCATCTCAGTACATGAAGCACCGTCAGCCTACCGCCGATTTTCGAGCATCGGCACGTTGGACCTTTCGCTACCGCGTGCGGTGGTCCTTGGCGCAGCGCGTGAAGACAAAGATGGGGCAGAAACTAGCCGCCGGTCAGCAATCTGCATGTCATCCCCCCGGCCGTAACTATTTAGGTAAAATATGTATCTAACGCATGTGTCGTGTTGTGTGTTTAACAGATTGCAAGGGGAAGGTGGAGTCCTTCTGGGAGTTCGTCCGCCAGATGAGCATGGTTCATCTGTTTCCCCTAAAACTCATCGTGAACGCCGACCAGACCCTGCTCTGGTTGGAGATGCCAGCGGAACGCACCCTCGAAATGAAAGGCGCCCGCACGGTACATGTCAGGACAGCGGGCTACGAGAAGGAGCGCGTCACAGTCATGTTGGCAGTGACGGCTGACGGCCTAAAGCTTCCCCCGTACGTCATCTTCAAGCAAAAGACGGTGCCACGTATCATGGTGCCACCAGGTGAGCCGGATGTCTTGTTGTCGTTGATTCCGTGTGTTGATAATGTTTTTTCCGTTACTGATTTACGGACGTGGCATGTGCAGGTATCATCATCCGTGCCCAAGAGAAGGGCTGGATGGACGAGCGCCTTGTCCATGATTGGACAACACAGGTGCTCGTCCCCTTCTTGAAGCCGCTGCGGGACGAGGGCGGACGGCGCAAGCAAGTGCTCCTTGTCTTCGACTCGTACAAGGGGCACCTGCCGAAATCCGTGGGGCAAACACTGAAGATTTTTAAGGTGACGCGTGCCGTCATCCCGGGCGGTTGCACCCCTCTGGTGCAACCGCTTGACGTCTCCATCAACCGCAGTTTCAAGTGCGGTGTGCGCCACTGCTATAGCACGTGGTCTGAGGAGGTCGGGATTGGCCAAACGACACGTGCAGGTGAGTCATTATCGCTTTGTGTGCTTTCAGATGACAAGGCAGCATTAAATCCACTGCCGTAACATCTTTACCGTTCATTCTTCTCGTGAACTGCAGGGAACTTGAAGAAGCCCCCCCCTGAAGTGATCCTGAAGTGGATCGTCAAGTCATGGGCTGATGTGCCAGAGGAGCTGGTGAAGAAATCATTCCTCACCTGCGGCATCTCCGGTGCTGAAGACGGAAGCGAGGATCAGAGGATCATCTGATCCTCGCTCACCTGCGGGACAAAGCGGAAGTGGAGGTGCTGGAGGATGTGCTGGAGGAGGAGGAGGACGGTGCGCACCCCAACCCGTTCTACGAAGACCCCTCGCACGCCCCTGAGCCCCCCGCCACCAGGACGACGAGGCAGAGGACGAGGAAGAAGGGCTTGCTGGGGAGGAGGATGTGGTGGATGCCGCTGCCGAGGAAGGGGATGGGATGGCTCCGGACGAGGAGGGGGGTGAGGCAGATGCAGAGATGGGAGGTGTGGATGAGTGGAGCGAGGATGGAGACGACTGGTGGGCAGCAGGCCGCTATGAGGGAGAGGAAGTGGAGGAGTGGGTTGCGGGCGAGGATGACTGACTATTTTGATGTGTTTCTCAACCCATGTTGCCCTTGGTGTCAAACTTGCTAACCGTGAATACGTTGCATTGGTGTCATGCTTGTCTTGCTAGTGAACCACTTGAAAAGGCATCTTATTTCCATTAAAAACACATGCCAACCATAGAGGGGGGGTCTAGTAATGTTTACCCCTCTAGGGGGGGGTATAGTGAAAACCTGCCAAAATAAAAGACCCACCCCCGTAATACAGACCCGAGGGTCTTGTATTCCGGGGGGTCTACTATCTGGGAGCTTACGGTTTTAAAAGCTTGACTAATAACTTTCGATATGTCCATTTCGAACAATTTGGTATGCAAGGGAACACTTCAAGGGTGTATGGTATATTCAATCACCAAAGACGAGTATGTGAAGGATTTTATTAACCAAAGGCAGTTTGGCGCTCCTATTGTAGTTGGTATACACCCTGCAGAAGCTAGCCTAAGAGTTACCAAGTAGCATCAAGTGGCGACCGCTAGTTGTAGCAACCACGCACTCGCTGCGATTGCAAGCAGAAGCCATGAGGCCCTGGCTGAAGGCGGGCTTGCTTTGAAGTATGAGTCTGACCCTGGCCGCTGCTTGGGTGCTGCACACACAGAGAGACATCACCAAGACAAAGCATAAGCATTGGGAAGAGCGAAGGATTTAGGGAGGAGATGAAGAGCAAGAGGGAAAGAAAAAGAGAAGAGAGAAAGGGCAAGAGAGCAAGTGGGAGCAAAAGAGAGTGTGCCGCTCATCCCAGTGGTGTTCTCCGGCGCATTTACAGACATGGCACGGCGGTACACTCACTCCTTTGCAGACCAACACACCTATGATGGGGCGCTCATCGTTTTGACTCTGAGTCAAAACGCTAGCGTTTTCATGCTCTTGACGCCCCCTGTCCGAGGGGTACCACCCAGTTTGACGCTCTGGCAGGCAGGCAAAAAAAATCCCGGGCAGGGGGGCTAGTAAGAAAGGTTGGGGAGGGGGCGGGGCAGGAGTTCTTCCCTGGTGCACTATCAACTGCAGCAATGGCTTCCGTCTCCGCACTCCTCGTATCCACCTTAGCCGGCCCCGTGGCCTCGCACCGGTCCCTAATCGCTTCGAACACCTCATCCGGGGCCTTCTCGCATATAGAGACGCCAGGCTTACTTTTGACGTTTTTTGTTTTTTTTTTCGATTCTGGGCTGCCCGGAAAAAAAATATTGGCCAAAGCGTCAAGCGTTTTGACGTTTGAAAAAAGCTGAATCTGGCGTCAAATCCATCATAGCCGCACACCCCCATCTCCCCACTCCTCCACCCACTCTCCCCCACTCTCCACACACTCTGGAGGGGCCGAAGCGCGGGTGCATGACCTGCGCCATGACCTTCAGCTTGCCCTGCTCCGCCGTGCACCCCCCCCCCCCCCCTCCTGCCCCCATCACCCCCACCCAACCCCCCTTTCTGGCCACTCACCAGCAACAGGCATGCTGATCCCAGAGGCGTTTTCCGGCGCATACACCAGCAGCAGCCCATGGCGCGGCGGCACGGGCGGGCGGTCACCGATGGCAGGGCCGAAGGCGGGGTGCATGACCTGCGCCATGACCTCCAGCTTGCCCTGCTCTACCGTGTCCCAGTCGTCCTGCAGAATGCCGCCCGTGTCCTTTGAGTTGGGGCCCCACGTGAACCACGTCCATGACAGCTGCTTCTTCCTGGTAGACAGAGTAAGAGAGAGAGAGAGGAGGCAGGCAGATGTGACGTGAGGTAAGGAACCGAGAGGAGCCTGCAGCACGCCGCCCGTGTCCTTTGAGTTGGGCTCCCACGTGAACCACGTCCATGACAGCTGCTTCTTCCTGGTAGGCGGGAAAAGGAGAGGGACAGAGGGAGGGCCGGGGGTGGTGGGGAGGGGAGGCAGGGGGATTTAAGGCAAGGGGCCTGGAAGAGTGTGCAGCGCACCGCCCGTGTCCTTTGAGACCACCGTTTCCCCATCCCCCTCAAATCCATCCCCGTTATAGCCTCACCTGATGTAGTTCCTTAGCGCGGCGACCCACTTCATCTCGCGTTGGCTCAGCTGGTCCGTGCCGTCGACGGGCAGCACGCTCCCCCACTCGCCCACCCACACCGGCGCGATGCCCTGGTCCGCCACATACCCCCACAGGTCGTCCCAGTACCCCTCCAGGTTCGCGGGAAACGCGGGATCGTACAGCCATGGCTGCCCGTCTTTGACCATGGGGCCATAGTCGTGAATGGAGTAGGCGAGCTTGTAGGGGATGTTGAGCTTGAGCGGGTAGAAATAGACAGGTCGCAGGTTCGATCCCCACCAGCAGTCGTCTCCGTCCAGGCCTTGCACGAAGATGAGCAGGTCCGGGTTCACCGCCTGCACCACGTCCGCGGCTCTGCGAAAACGAGGGGCGAGGGAGGGGAGTGGTAACATTTGTTACATGAGACGCGAAGATGAGCAGGTCGGGGTTCACCGCCTGCCCCTCTCGGTACACGATGCGAAACTTCGCACAAGGCATCACAAGTAAAAGTGGATGAAAGTTCTCCCTGGATAATTGCTCAAACCGCAGACAACAATACGACAAGAAAGGGCGACACGCGCGCACCCGATCGCGCCGCTCACGCACCTCTTAGCGGCCGTGCGCCAGTTCTGCGGCGCATGAGCGCACACTTTCGCGACATGCGCATCTTATCACAACGCACGCACCTCTTAGCGGCCGTGCGCCAGTTGTACGGCTCGTTCACGCCGTCCGCCTCCCACGTGACGTCCGGATGCGACGGGTCGCGGTGCGGCTCGTTGAACAGGTCAACACCGACCACGGTGCGCTCGCCGTAGTAGCGCGATGCGAGCAGGTTCCAGTTGTCGAGCCACACGCGCTCCGGGTTCCCCAGGTCGAACCACAGCCCCGTGTCCGCGGCGTAGTCGGGCGGAAGCGCGGGGCTGACGCGCGAGTTGCTGAGGATCACGCGCATTCCACGGAGTTTTGCGCCCGCGATCACCGCATCCATCACCTCGAGAGTCGATAAACCCTGCGCGGAACGGCGGGGGAAAGGCGCGTAAGAATGGGGAGAAGAGTGGGCTGTAAGCGCGTGGAGGAAGGAGGAAAGCGGAAAATGGAAAGCGGGGAACGTGGCAACAAGGAGGAGGCGCGATTAGAGGCTTAGCAGGAGGTATGTAGCGTGCTGGCCGCCGACGACAGAAATGCGGCGGAGATGCGGCGGAAGATGCGGCGGAAGATGCGGCGGAAGATGCCTGGGGAGATTCAGCCAGCATATCGAGATCGCAATTTAGCGACATTTGTTACGATGCATCGTTGACGATTAGCTCAGCTTTCTGACTGGACCCTGACCTTGGCTTTGCCTGTAATCTGGCTTCTGGCTTGTTCGGATTTTAATCTACCTCGAGCTCCGGGTTTTTCTTGAAGTCGATAGATCCGTCAGTCGGGCGAATTGACGGCGAGATGCACGACGTGGCGAAGTTGAGGCGAATAACGTTGAACCCGAGCGACGCCATCTGGTCCATGTAGTCGCCGAGCCCGCGCGCCCATAGTCCGTCCGCGACGCAATTTGCGGCGTCGAAGCCGTTCCAGTTGACCCCCGAAAACTGAATCACGCGGCCCGCCTCGTCCAGAATCTGGCTTCCCACTGCGAACCAATAGCCGTCTCCCAGCTGGCTCGCGGAGGCGAGGCGCGGAGCGGCGCAGGAGGCGGCGAGGAGGAGGAGGATGAGGGAGATTCGCCGATACGCTGAAGTGGGTCTGGTCGCCATCGCGGGTAGAGAGACAGAGAGGCGAGCCGTTCTGGCGGGTAATGGACGAGCGGATAAGTCTAATCAATGACTGGCACTAACCATAGTAAGAGTGTGAGATGGGCAATGGGAGGTCTACTGCTTGAGCTTGAGATGCTAGGGACCCAGCCTTGTGCTCGGTGTCGAGCTTTCAAGCTGCCAGAAGATCTTTGACGGCTCCCTCTCTCCTTCGCTCAATGGTGAATCTCTTCATAAAGAGGCCTTCAAGTTTACATATTGCTCTATGGCCGAAGCTGAGTGTCATGTCACAACTTGAGCCAAGGCAGGGCGGGCGGGAAACAAGAGGAACGTAAGTGCCGCACGGTGGGCATGGCTGGTGATTGGTTGTAGAGACACATGGTGTGGGTGGGCCATGGTCAGACCATAGCGGTTGTGCGAAGGGTTGACGGGGAATTTGTCCATCTCAACATTCACTCACACACAACCGGCCCCACACAGACTCTCCCCGTCATTCGCTAATTTCAGAAGCTCAGATGCGTTGCGCCGTGACAATTGACGCGGCGCGAACGGCACGACACTGGTGTTGACAGACTCATCTGTCTCCCTGGTTACCGCATTCGACATCGCGAAGGTGCTGGGCCGCGTCGCAGCGACGCGATTGGCGGCTGACCGACACAGGTCAGCAGCACTTTCAGTGAATTTGAGACAGGGTGAAGTGGCTACTCCCTAATGGCTGTATTATCCGCGTTACAGAATCGTGTTTCCTACACTTCGGTAGGTACTCAAAGCTACATTCTACCAAACTTTCACCAACGCTCCCCGATTCTGGCACGTTCTTATATTGGATGGTCGTTTCAAGCAATCTTCCCGCCTGCCCTGTTTCTGAGCATCTAGTATGGTTGTCAAGTCAACCAAACTTGGTTTCACTCTCCGTCATTCTAGGTTCCTTGCAGAAAGAAGACTCTGGCAGCTGTCAACTATCCTAGACTGCACGAATCACGAAACCCGTGACTAGTTGCTTTCTAACACTGCTACGGCGTCCCAATACATTTCGTCTTGGACTAAAGCCGTTAGAGTTAAAAAAGTTTGCCGTTGAACGCGCCAGAATGTCTGCCAGGAGGCGTACTTTGCTGAAGGTCATCATTCTCGGGGATAGCGGGTGCGTAGGCTGTTATATTTACCTGCTAGCTTCCTGCTCCTCGTCGTGTTTCGCGTTCGTAGAAATTTCTAACTCCTCCCCGTGGTGTTTTTTTCCCGCTTGAATACGCGCAGCGTCGGAAAGACGTCGCTCATGAACCAGTAAGCAGTCAGTGCGCTTCGCTGTTGCTCAAATCGTCGCATATTTGTCGATTAGTTTCGCTATGGAGCTGCTCGTCCTCTGACCATGCCCCCTGCTTTGTTCCTTGTAGATACGTGAATAAGAAGTTCAGCGCACAATATAAAGCCACCATTGGAGCCGATTTTCTAACGAAGGAGGTCCAAGTAGACGACAAGCTTGTAACCATGCAGGTACATCCTAGCTTTTTCCTCAGCGCTGTAGTTTTGCGGATTGGAGAGGGAAAGGAGCGGAAGGAGCGGAAGGAGCGGTCAAGATGTGTTGTCGACTACCGGTAGTCAGCCTTCGCGATCTGGGAGTTTCTTTTTATCATGAGATCATAACAGTTTTTCGTTTCGATCCAGATCTGGGATACAGCCGGGCAGGAGCGGTTTCAGAGCCTGGGAGTGGCGTTTTACCGGGGAGCGGACTGCTGCGTGCTGGTGTACGACGTGAACGTGATGAAGTCTTTCGAGAACCTCGACAACTGGCGGGAGGAGTTCTTGATACAGGTGCGTGCCGTGGTCACTCATTACAGGTGCGCGCCGTGGTGTCTTATCACAGGTGTGTGCCGTTGACCCGTCTTAGGATGTACGGACATGATCGGGAATCGAAATCAACATGATCAACAAGAAAAGCTGTTGAAATCGACGGCAGAGCTGACGCGACCCTCGTGTGTCTTGTCCTCCCGCCACGTGGACAGGCCAATCCAGCAGAGCGAGATCTGTTCCCGTTCGTGGTGCTCGGCAACAAGATCGACGTGGACGGTGGCAACAGCCGCGTGGTATGCATCCGCTCGCTTGCGCAGCTCCTCTATTTTCAAACCTCTGCATTCAATAGATCTTCCCTGTCCTGCTTTAGCGCCCTCACATGCCCCATAAAATACCTTCTCTTCCACATACACTCCCTTTGTACGCTCGTGCCTGTCGCGTCTCTCCTCGTGTCTCTGTTGTGCCTGGCGCGTGCGTGGCATGCAGGTATCGGAGAAGAAGGTGAAGGCGTGGTGTGCGACCAAGGGCAACATCCCCTACTTCGAAACGTCCGCCAAGGAGGACTACAATGTCGAGGCCGCCTTCCAGTGCATCGCCAGAAACGCGCTCAAGAATGAAACCGAGGAGGACTTGTGAGTGCCCACCTGTCCGTCTTGTGGTCTTGCGCTCTTGTGTTGTTGCCCAGGTTTTCTTTATCACCAGCAGGCGAACTTCAGCTGCTCTTGCCTGGCTTTACATTGAGATTTGCAGGTGACCGTCCTTTGGTCTTACCAATGCTCCTTCCCCTCTGGCCCTTTTTTTACATGTATTTCCTCCTCCACCCTCCTGTGATGTGCGACAGCTATTTGCCAGACACAATTGATGTGAATGCTGCACGGGCCACCAAGGCATCATCATGTGAATGCTGAAACCAGCAATGGAGCTGCCATTGCCTGAACACCACCAGTCATTGGAGAGGAGTTATATACACCAGTGCCAATCTTCAGTGTTTGCGATAAAACTGTTACAGTGGTGAATATAGAGTTGCCACAGGGCTTGTACAGCAGTTACTGTAAGCTCTTCGTGAATGTATCTAGAGCAGTGAGGCAGTGTCGCCCTAATGTTGACATTTCACCGCTGCCAGAACATTCAGAAGGAGGTCAATACGCAGAATTTAAAACCAGGGTGCACATTCAACGCGGTTCGGCTTGAGATGTTGGGAAGGGGGTTTGGAGAAAAACAGTGATTGGCTCACGAGGGGCGACAAAAAAATGATTCCGCTAGAGCTTCGGGCATTTCGTAGGTGGCGGGAGGGGGTGAAATGGCGGGAGTGGGTGAAACCGAATGGCGGGAGGGATGAAACAGATTGGCGGGAGGGGGGGGAAACGAAATTGCGGGGGAGGGGGGAAACAAAATTGCGGGGGAGGGGGGAAACGAATTTCGACGGGGAGGGGGAAATGAAATTGCGGGGGCGTGGGGAAACGAAATTGCGGGGGAGGGGGGAAACGAATTTCGACTTGAAGGGGTTGAAAGCACACCTCGTAACCCACTCAGTCAAGGGATAACCTTTGATGCACATTCAGCTGAATGTGCACCCCGGTTTTAACAGGTGAAGAGGAGCAACACAGGAACAGAAACTTACGTGAAGGGACACGCGTGTGATGCATCAGCTATCATGTCACATATGGACATTGGTGCTGCTGATGCTGCCTCTTGCAGTGCGGACTCCTCCGCTACTTGTGCTGCCTTCTTCCTGCTTGGCCACTTCCCCCTTGCATTGGGCTTCTGTGCTTGCAGCGACTCAAATATCGCGTTGGGGTTGATGTCAAAGTACGCCTGGGAAACAGCAATGCATACCCGTGTTGTGTGGAGACAAATGCATGAATGGTTACCGCGGAAAGAGGAATGGCCGTGGCAGGCAGCTTGAAGGTTGTGATGAGGAGGCCGAGATTGTGATGAGGAGGCTGAGATTGTGATGAGGAGGCTGAGATTGTGATGAGGAGGCTGAGATTGTGATGAGGAGGCTGAGATTGTGATGAGGAGGCTGAGATTGTGATGAGGAGGCCGAGATTGTGATGAGGAGGCCGAGATTGTGATGGCAAGATGTGGGCGTGTGATGATGGAGGAGCAGCACAGAAAGGGAGCAGTGTGTGAGCACTGGAGCATGTGTGTGAGCACTAGAGGATGTGTGTGAACAGAGCGGGAGCGGCAGAGGAATATGTGGTGTGGGCATCTGAGATTGCAGATGACCGAGAGCATGTAGACGCAAAACAAAGATTAGACTCCTTCACAGACTGGCTGGCGCGCACCTGGCAGGTGTGGCACAGCAGCACGGCCAGCAGCTCTCGTCTGACCTGCGAGCCCTTGGAGAGTTGAGGCGCGTTGCTGCACCCCAGGTGCTGCAGGAAAGCAGCGGCATTCGCACACTGACGCATACAAGTAGGCAGACAGGGGGACGCACCTGGCAGGCGTGGCACAGCAGCACGGCCAGCAGCTCTCGTCTGTCCTGCGAGCCTTTGGAGAGCTGAGGCGCGTTGCTGCACCCCAGGTGCTGCACGACAGCAGCGGCATTCGCACACTGACACGCATACAAGTAGGCAGACAGGGGGGGCGCACCTGGCAGGCGTGGCACAGCAGCACGGCCAGCAGGTCTCGTTTGATCTGCGAGCCCTTGGAGAGCTGGGACACATTGCTGCACCCCAAGTGCTGCAGGAGGGCAGCCAGGGTTGTCCTGCCCACCCCCACTCCCCTGGGGTCGGCTGCCAGTGACGCCCTCAGCTTCTGCTCGTGTGTGGCGATGGGTGGGCGGTGGGTGAGGTTGGGTGGCGGTGGGTGCAGTAGTAGCAGTGAGTGCAGTGGGTAAAGGGCACAGGGTTAGATTAGGATCAATATCTAGGACTGGCAAGAATGATTTAGATGGCTCAAAGCAGCAGAAAAAAAAAAATGTGTTCAGAGGAGTTACAATATATGCGTTACACCCGAATTATGAAACATCTAACATATGCTTCATGGGGCTACACACCTGGCATTAGGCCTGTCATTACACCTATCATTACACATGTCATTACACCTGTCATTACACCTGCCATTACAACTGGCATTGCACCTGGCATTACACCTGCCATTGCACCTGGCATTACACCTGAAGGACTCACGACAGGGCCGAAGCGAGAGAAGAGGAGAACGATGAGATGATACTTGTGGCATGGGTCCACCATGGTCTGATCGGCGATGGCATGGGGCGGAGCAATGCACATGCAGCACAGCAGCAACCACCATGACCATGTGAAGTCGTCAGGGTGCGGCTGATTACAAAATGGCATAATGTAACAAAATGCTCAGCTCTTATGAAGCTAGGTACAGCAGGAGCAGGGTGTAAAACGCTATTATATTCGCTGCTTCATGCAGCAGGATCAGGATGTTGATGCTTTAAACAAGCATGCACATGAAGAAGAATGCGTGAGCATGTGCCCTCCCTCCCCACCTGCAGGAAGAAGCTCTTCTTGGCAACGCTGGGCTCCAACGCGAAGAGCCTCACCAGTCGATCCTCCAGTGCCTCCCTGCGAGATGCCGTGCATGCAACCATGCGGGAGGAGAGAGAAGGAGGGTGAGATGCCGTGAACGCAGACAGTGGAGCATACAAGTGAGAGCACCGATTGAGTCGGCAAGGATGCTCACAGGGGTGAGGGCACGCAGTGGGGTAAGGACATGCAGTGGAGTGGAGTGTTTTAACACTCAGGGGGCTCACTTCTCATTCCTGGCTCTGCGGTACCCATCGTTGTCCGCTATGATACCATGCAGATCCAACACCTGCTCACACAATGCCACAAATCAAAGGGGTGGTTACGAGACGGAAATCACACCAGCAGATACTCGCACAGGGTACAGGAGCACGACTAAGCAGCATCACTTCGGCAACTCACACGGTCGAAGGGGTTAAATTCCAGAAAGTAGCACCACTCTCAGACTCACAGCACCCAGCAGAAGCTGAGCTGCTCGAGCCAGCTCCAGGCGATTGGGAGCGACACAATGTTGTGCCCTCCGCACACACTCACGCTTCACCTCCTTCTCCACCACTCCCTGCACTGCTGCCTGCACTCCCTCCTGTCCCTCCTTCCCCTCCGCTTCTCCCCTTTGACACTTCTCTCCCGTCGCTTCACCACCCAATTCGTCCTTCACTCCTTCCTTTTCCTTCTCACGCTGCTCCTCCTCCCTGTCACCCTCCTCTCCCTTCCTAGCACGCTTTCTCGTTCTCCCTTGCTCGTCATCGTCCTCCCCTTCGACCTTCTCCTCCCCATCATGTTTTGCTTCCCTCTTGTCCTCCGCCCCTCCCTTACTCTCCAGGCCTAACTTCTCGCTATCCTTTTCCTCTTCCCCCTCTTCCACTTCCTCTTCTTCCTCTTCCTCCTCTTCCTCCTCCCCAGCACATGCAAACACAAGAGCCACAACGCTCTCCCACAGCTGCTCCAGCCCTAGAGGCCCTTGGCCCTGGCATGTGCACGGCAGGGTAAGAGAATGTCAAAGGGGGATGGAGGGGAAGAGGCAAGAGCGTGAGTGAGGGCCACCACGCTCTCTCACAGCTGCTCTAACCCTTGAGGACCCTGGCCCTGTCATGCGCAAAGCAGGGTATGGGGAAACAGGAAGGAGAGATGGTGGTGGAACATGCAAAGGCGTGAGTGAGCACCAGAACAACCACACACTCCTTGGGAACATTTTTTTCCCCACAGTGCACTCCCCTCTTTTCAGTCTCTCATAAATTACGAAGGAAAAGGCAAGGGCGTGACTGAGCACCAGAACTCCCACAATGACCTCATATGAAGTATTCAATCCCTGAAAATGTAAAAGGAATGACAAAATCAGACACAGCAGTAAGCGAAGGAGTGTTCAAATTTTCAGGATAAAAAAAAAAAAAAAAAAAAACAGAGCAACTATCTTCTATGAAGTATCCCACAGAGCCCTACCTTGATTGATTTACCTGAAGGAACCGGAAGAGCAGCGTTGACTCGATTGTCTCGAGGCGCCGATCCTTGGAGAGAGATGCTGCGATGACACACAGTGGCAACACATGGTTAAAAAAAAAAAAAAAAAAAAAAAATAATAATAAAAAAAAAAAACGAAATAGGAAAAGGAGAGGGTGAAAGAGGGAGGTAGGACGGGTTGGGGGAGGGGGGGGGGGTCTTGTGTGATGCAGTAGGAGGAACGAGAGGAAGGAAAGAGGAAGCAAGTGACAGTGGCGGTGAACTAGTGGGGCGGGCGGACTTTAAGGCGGCTCAGAAGGGGAGAGGCAGCTCACGACGAGTGTTGAGCAGCGTGTGGCGGCGGTGGTGGAAGTCCCTCAGCAGAGCATCGATGATTAGGAGCAGCAGCCGGCATGATGCCAACGACTGGGGATGGCAGGGCAGGGCAGGGGAGCGCAGTGTCGGACAGGGAAGGACAGCGCAGGAAACGGCAGGCCAGGCAGGCAGGAAACGACAGAAGGTTGAAGCGAAACGAAAAGGGGAGGTTGGAGGGAGCGAAAACAGTGCGTGGAGGTGAAGAGAGGCAGGATGTTCAGGGCAGGTGGAGGTTGGCAAGCAGAAAGCTATTTTCAGACAGGGAGGAAGGAAGGTAGACTCTCATGCAGGAGCAGAAATCACGAGTCATACCTATCAGATCAGCCCCGCCACTTGAAGTCACTTTGGAGATTTCTCTAAAGGGAATCCGTAAAAAACTCACGAGCAAACACTGCCTAGGAGTTTGTAGTCATATCTATCAACCCCTCCACCATTTTGAAATACCAGCTGAAGTTACTTACTCGACTAATATGAAAATCAGGCTAGCTAACCTGACGTATGCCACATGGTGTGCTTACCTGGCAAATGGCATCGTCAGCTGCAGCTTCCTCCTCCTCCGCATCCTCTACTCCCCCTGCTTTCTTTCCCACCCCTCCATCCCCCTTTCCATCTGTCTCTGTTCCGCTCGCTACAGCTCCCCGGTGTACCTCTCCAGCACCTCTTTCCACTGCACTCGACACCTCCTTATTGCTTTGTGACCTCAGCACTCTGGTGGTGACTGGCTGAGCGCTGCTGCCTACTCCAGGTACCACCTTCACCAGCTGTACCTCCCCTGAGCGCCCTGCAGCAGGATGACTGCTGCTTGAATCCTCCACTGTAAGGACCTTCACCTCTTCCACTCCTTCCTCACTCTCTTTCCCTCCCTCACTCTCCTTTACTTCCACACACTCCTTGACCTCCTCATCCCCTTCCACTTCCACGCTCTCTTTCACTCCCTCACGCTCCATACCTTCCTCGCTCTCTTTCACCTCCACACACTCTTTCACGTCCTCACTTTCTTCCACTTCCAAAGCACTACACTCTGCCACACCACTCTCCACCACCACACTCCCTTTCACCTCCTCAATCTCACTCCCACTAACCTCCAACACTTCATCATCACCCTCTCCCCCCACCATCTCCACTTCACTCACTCCCTCATCATCCACATCCCCACTCGCCTTCTCCTCACCCCCCGTCACCCCCTCAGCAGCCCGCTTCCCCTTAACCCTCCGCCCTCCTGCACCTACCTTCCCCCCCCTCCCCCGCCTCTTTTTTCCCTTTCCTGTACCCGCTCCTCTTGAAACCCTCACTTCCTCCACACCTTCCTCCTCTTCCCCTTCTCTCCCACCCCCTTCCTTCTCACCCTCCTCAGTCCTCCCTTCGCTCACGAGCTGATCCTTCCTGGCAGCTTCCTCTTCCTTCCCTTCACACTCCACTTGCATAGTTTCCCTTGTGCCCCCCTCCACTTTTACCACCTCCTCACTCTTCTTCTCCCTGCCCCTGTCAGCGTCTACGTCAACCTTGACCTCAGCATCCACGTCAGCCTCCACGTCAGCATCCACGTCAGCATCCACGTCAGCACCGTCTGCATCGCCACTGCCTTGCTGCATGGCTGTCACTGCCTTGGCTGCAGCAGAGAAGAGGCCTGCAAGGCTCTACAAGCTCAAGAAAAGAGGAAACGAGGATGCACGAGAGACACAGCATGAGACACAGCATGAGACACAGCATGAGACACAGCATGAGACACACGTTAATGAAAAGGCTATAAAAAAAAACTGAATGTGGCAATCTCATGTCCCTACTTCCCCATTTCAGACGAAAGGGCTTCAGGGGAAGCTCAAGAGTCGGAAACAGACTTGAGAACGAAGAGGGGACTTGGCGCACCATGTGTTTGTGGGATGGTGTGGGCGAGTCGTAGCCGATGTTGGGCTGCCATGCCTGTCATTATGCCGTGCCGTGCCATGCCATGCCCCATGCCATGCCCCATGCCATGCCCCGTGCCATGCCATCACATGCAATCCCATGCCATTCCCGCAACAGACAGGCCGATGGGGGGGAGACAAGCGGATGAGACACTATGGTGATGCACATATGCATGTAACAAAGTTACACTTTTCCCACTCCCTCATGCTCATCTTGCTCATCTTAGCTTCCCCTCACTCCATTCCCGTCACTTCTTGCGCCTCATCCCACTCCCCTCACCTCTCTCTCCCCACCCTTCTCCCCTCACCCCTCCTCTCACACCTCTCCCACCACTCCTCCTCACCCCCCATCTCACTCCCCCCACCACTCGCCCCTCACCTCGTTCCCCCCAACAGCCTCAGTGAGTGCGAGCAGCGAGGCAGCGCGCCACACCAGCAGCCCCTCCTTGGAGCTGCGCACCACCTGACTCACCATACCCCATTTCCCTCAACACACTCCATCCCCCCACCCCCCCTCTTCTCCTCCCTCCCTCCCACCCCTATTCCCCTCACCTCGTTCCCCCCAGAGGCCTCAGTGAGCGCGAGCAGGGAGGCAGCGCGCCACACCAACAGGCCCTCCTTGGAGCTGTGCACCACCTGAGCCATGCGCTGCCGCAGACCCCTGGCAGGCACATGAACACATACTCGTTACAAGGTGATCTATTACTCGTCTTTGTACCACCTGAACCATGTGCTGCCGTAGACACCTGGCGGAAAGATAATAACCTACTCGTTACAAGATGACCTGAGTCAGCTTCGCATCACCTGGGGCATGCGAGCAATTCACCTGGGAGCAATATACTTGACAGAGAGATTCATCTGAAAGCCATCCAGGCTGGAGCAACAACGCCCCTATAAAAGGGATACTTTCAATCCATTCAGCTATAAGGCATTCAAGGGAAGCGTGATCATCAGATTATTAAAATCCACGGAATCATGGAATGAATGAATGAATGAATGAATGAATGAATGAATGAATGAATGAATGAATGAATGAATGAATGAATGGATGGATGGATGGATGGATGGATGGATGGATGGATGGATGGATGGATGGATGGATGGATGGATGGATGGATGGATGGATGGATGGATGGATGGATGGATGGATGGATGGATGGATGGATGAATGCATGGATGGATGGATGGATGGATGGATGGATGGATGAATGAATGAATGAATGAATGAATGAATGAATGAATGAATGAATGAATGAATGAATGAATGAATGAATGAATGAATGAATGAATGAATGAATGAATGAATGAATGAATGAATGAATGAATGAATGAATGAATGAATGCATGGATGATGGATGGATGGATGGATGGATGGATGGATGGATGGATGGATGGATGGATGGATGGATGGATGGATGGATGGATGGATGGATGGATGGATGGATGGATGGATGGATGGATGGATGGATGGATGGATGGATGGATGGATGGATGAATGAATGAATGAATGAATGAATGAATGAATGAATGAATGAATGAATGAATGAAGAGGGAAAGGTGGAACGGGGGAAATGGGGCAGGTGGAACAGGGAAATGAAAGGCATGAGTGCATGCATGTGGACGAGGCACCTGGGAATGTGTGGAGCGAGTGGATGGTGGGTGAGCTCTGACATGGCGAACAGGAAATATGCCACTGTTGGGGGGGAGAGGGAAAGGTGGAACGGGGGAAGGAGAAGGGTAATGGGGAAAGGAATGGTCAGTCAAGGCGTCAACATGCTGAAACAATCTGATCACTTGATTGGCTGGCACATCAGACCGACTTATGCTGCCTGTTACTCAGCACTTACTGACCCGTTCCCAGCGCTAACTGACCGTCAGCCAGCACTAGCGGACCGTTAGCCAAGGTGGTGACGGAGTCGTCAGCAAGGTCGGCGTGGTGGCGGATGAAGGTCTCGATGGACTCCACTGATTGAGTGGAATAAAAAAATGACCGTTGACCAAGGCGGTGACAGAGGTGACTTCTGAGTCGATTTCAAAAGTCGCCTTGACTCGAAAACTAACCGTTAGCCAATGCAGTGACGGAGTCGTCAGCGAGGTCGGCGTGGTGGCGGATAAAGGTCTCGATGGACTCCACCAGCTCGCCCGGCATCATGCCGCCCTGCTCGCCGCTCGCGTCGCCGTTGTCATTCCTGATACTGTCGCCTTCGCCTCCAGTTAGAGTGCGGCTTGAACGCACGCGTGCGGACTTGCCTACCATCGTGAGTAATTCCAGGCAGAACGTTGGCTGATATTCGCAGTGCGGGCGTGGACGAGAAGGACTTCGCTGCGTTGCGCGCCTGTTGTTCAGATAATTACCCACGCTCACGTTGCTTGTGGGTAGGCAGATGCTATGGAATCGCTCAACTGGTGAGTCTCAGGAAATGGACTTGATCGAATTAGTGAAAATACGGGTTTCGGCTACCTGGACTGTATCAGTCATACCCGTTACCTTATTGCGCGACTCAAAAACGCGGTTACAAGAATACAGTGCATTCTCTTCTCCCCCGTTCAGCCCCAATTGCCTTGCTCACATCCGCCATTTCCAGGCCATTCAATTCCACCTTGGGAATCCCGCCATTTTGTTTTTCACTCCAAGCCGCAGCGGCCATCTTCCCGCGCGTCTCCTAACCGAATTTACAAAATGATCGCCAGTGCAGCCCCGCCCTCCCTCCCCACCTCCCTGCACGTCACAGGCTCGGCGCGCACTTCTCACAGCCGCAGTCGGCGCTGCGCGCCGAGTCGCAACCATTGCAATAGCGCGACTATTTATCCTCGTCATGAGCCATCTGAGCGGGGAGAAGGGACGAGATCCTCCCAGTTGCTAGGTTTCCACAACTCGGCGTGCTTGCAAGGCGGAGCGACTCGAATCTCCTGCCATCCTCCTGCCGTTGCAAGGCGAAACTCCCCAAAAAGGCAAGTTGACGTGCCGCGTTGCCTGTACTCGCCTCATCAGCCACATTTGTTGCAGCTTCGTCATCCATTATCCTCATCAGAATGTAACTCCCTCTCGTCCTCGTCACGAGCATCTGGAGCCATCCGCGATTTTTGAGGCGCCTCAAAAATCAACTTCGTCATCCATTATCCTCAGCAGAATGTAACTCATTTTCGTCCTCGTCCCTGTCCTCTATTCCCCATCAGACGAGCATCTGGTGCCATCCGCGCAGCCATTGACGCGTTCGTCATCGGCTTCCAAGACACGCTCTTAAAGCCCTCCTCCGACGGTCTCCTCGAGCCAGCAGCCGAGGCACTCAGAACCACCTCCCTGCCCTTCTACATCCTCACCTCCTCCTCCTCCTCCTCCTCCTCCTCCTCCTCCTCCTCCTCCTCCTCCTCCTCCTCCTCCTCCTCCTCCTCCTCCTCCTCCTCCTCCTCCTCCTCCTCCTCTCTCTCGCCTGCTGACGTCAGCGCATTCCTGAAGCGCGATGCGGGAGTGGATATTCCCGAGGACTCGCCACGGATCATCACGGTGGCTGGAGAAGGGGAGGGCAAACTGGCTGCTCTTCTCACGGTGCGTGTACAGTGCCTCCCTTCTCCCCACTGCACTTGTTGCCACGTGGTCCCATGCCATGTCATCCCATGCCATGCCATGTGTCATCATCCCATCCCAGGCCATGCCATTGCCTTTTTATCCATCCCACCTCTTGCCACCCATGCAGGGGAACTGAACAGCAGGCCTCTAGCCCATAAGACAGCCAACACCATGCACTACATGGACTCAAATGTAGCCGCTCTCAGATCGTGATGTTTTCTTCCATGCCATCTCATGATGCCACCCATGCAGGTGAACAGCAGGCCTCTAGCCCAGGACACAGCCAACACAATGCATTACATCGACTCAGATGTAACCGCTCTCACCCTTGCAGCCAGCCAACCAGAGCTCGCCAGGTGGCAGCTGTACCATGCACAGTGGAGCGAGAGTGGGGGAGGAAGCAAGGAGGAGACACTTCATCCTCGCATCAGGCCGATCGCGTGAGTGGATCGATTTTTGTGGTGCCTCAAAAGGCGTGAGTGGAAAGGTGCAGGGCGGTTGTTGTTGCACTTGCCTCTCTCATCTCACTGTCTGTTTGCTTTCCAGCTTCTCTTTGGTTTCCTTATCGAAGTTGTTTTTCTCTTGCAAGGAGCTACTAGCTTCCTCCCCCTCACCAAATTGTTTTCCCCCCTCCCCTCTCTCTCCTCCCCACACCGTCGTCCTCTCCCCCCCACCTCCACTTATTTTGGCATGCGCACCGCCAGACTCAAGGATCTGGATGAGCTGCTGCGGTGGGGGCTGCTCATGGGGGTGAATGACGGGTGCCAGGAGTATGAGGATGGCACGCCTGCCACCTGAGTCTGCTGACACACCCGTTTAAGGTGCCTCATACGTCTGCTCATGGGGGTGAATGACGGGTGCCAGGAGTATGAGGATGGCACGCCTGCCACCTGAGTCTGCTGACACACCCGTTTAAGGTGCCTCATACGTCTGCTCATGGGGGTGAATGACGGGTGCCAGGAGTATGAGGATGGCACGCCTGCCACCTGAGTCTGCTGACACACCCGTTTAAGGTGCCTCATACGTCTGCTCATGGGGGTGAATGACGGGTGCCAGGAGTATGAGGATGGCACGCCTGCCACCTGAGTCTGCTGGCACACCCGTTTAAGGTGCCTCATACGTCTGCTCATGGGGGTGAATGACGGGTGCCAGGAGTATGAGGATGGCACGCCTGCCACCTGAGTCCTGGCACACGCCTGATGGACCCATTTGTGCTGTGACTGGCAGAACATGGCAGGATGAATTCTCTTTTGAAACGGAGTAATGATGCAAAAGTTCTGGTTTGATATGAAACCTTTTTCGGTACCAGAACCTAAGAGGCTGGAGAATCCTGGTTGAGGGATTTGTTGTTAGGATCTGATGCAAATGCTTCATAGGTATCTACATTAGGGCACGTTCATACGCCTCTTATCAGGCAAACCTCTTGTCAGGCTTGCCTCGTAAAATGCATGAAGGTGAATTTCAGCGTGTAGATGACATAAATAGCAGTAGGAAGGCGCCCTTACTACATAAATACTAACGAATTGCAATACCTACTTACGGTGCGTATATATTAATACTGCCTAATGTTACTGCATATGCATTGACTAGAAAGAGTTCTTCTTAGGGGGCCTCTGGGATTTTGCATGTTCTTATCCTCTTGCTATCTTTGTATAGAGGAGGAAATATTTTTACTAGAGCACTGCTGGAGCATCTGACATAAGCCGAATGAAGAGCAACTTGGTGGTGGCTGGGGAGCATAAGTAGATGCAGCACAGGATCGCCTTGGGGCTTGATCTATTCATGCGTGCTTTGAAGGAGGGCCTACTTTCTTGAAGCTTGTGAGAGAGTTGGCTCTAAGCCAGCTGAAGAGGTTGGACTTGACTGTCCCAGAGGAGCGTAAGTAGATGCATTCAGGGTTCGTCTCGTGCCCCTCTGAAAGCTGCACACTCTCTCTCCCTCTCTTGCTCTGTCCATATCACGGAGGGCCCACTTTCTTGAGGTCTGCCAGGGCCTCGGCTTGATGCCAGATGAAGTGGTTGATGGTGCCGGAGGAGCAGAAGAAGATGCACTCGGGGTTCTTCTTGGCGGCGTCTGGGTCCGCACACTTGACTGATGCTGGATCCACTGTTGTGTTTGGCGACTGCAACATGGGGCTGGGAGGAGGGAGGGAGGGAAGAGAAGGGAAGGGACTGCATGAGAGGTGCACATGCGTGTAGTGACTCGAGTTTTGAGTCGAGTTTTGAGTCGAGTTTCGAGTCGAGTAGTGAGTCGAGTAGTGAGTCGAGTAGTGAGTCGAGTAGTGAGTCGAGTAGTGAGTCGAGTAGTGAGTCGAGTAGTGAGTCGAGTTTTGAGTCTAGTTTTGAGTCGAGTTTTGAGTCTAGTTTTGAGTCGAGTTTTGAGTCGACTCACTACACGAGGGAAGAGAAGGGAAGGGACTGCATGAGAGGTGCAAATGCGTTTTGTTTGTTCGAGCCTTTTGTCGCGGCTCTTCTTGACAAGTCTTTGCACTTCAGTTCTAGTGCATCAAGACAGAGCAGCAGAGGGTGACGAGCAACAGGGAGTGTCCAACACTCACCTCTTACGGCAGGTCTAATTCACGGTTGGTTCCTGCATCGTATCAGGGTTCTTGAGCGTGTCGTGGCTCTTGGGGCGAGCAGCAACCCCCAGTAGAGCGTGCGGAGCAACACAGAGGGTCCCCAAACACTCACCTCTTATCGCAGATCTGCTTCACAGGAGGCTCTGTAATAGCATCGGGGTTCTGAAGCGTGTCATAGTACTTGACGAGCATGAGCCCCCAGTAGAGAGTGCGGCCGGTCCACGTGCACGCATACGTCGCAAACTGGTTTGCCGCCTGCACCAGCCGCTGCACCTCCTCGTCGTTCTCCTGTGCCCACCGCACTTTCTCAGTCAGGTCGGAGAAGCTGGGGGGAATGGGAGGAAGGGAGTATGGGAGTACGGATAGTGAGATGTTTGTACCAGCCCCCCCCGGGGCTCCTGAGCCGCCTGCACCAGCCGCTGCACCTCCTCGTCGTTCTCCTGTGCCCACCGCACTTTCTCAGTCAGGTCGGAGAAGCTGGGGGGAATGGGAGGAAGGGAGTATGGGAGTACGGATAGTGAGATGTTTGTACCAGCCCCCCCCGGGGCTCCTGAGCCGCCTGCACCAGCCGCTGCACCTCCTCGTCGTTCTCCTGTGCCCACCGCACCTTTTCAGTCAGGTCGGAGAATATGAGGGAAAAAAGGAACGGGGTGGGGAGGAGGAGGGGAGTGCGGAGGGTTAGTTGTCTGTACGAGCCAAGCCTGGTTTGCCTGCACCACTGCTGCAGCACCCGCTGGCTGCACCATTCACGTGCGAGTGGTGGTGAGCCAGTGGGACTCTATCCTGCAGCAGCGGCTCGTCGAACTGGAAGAGAGGCGTTGTATGGGTAACATGGTTACCAGCAGACATGGTGACTCACGTGCGAGTGGTGGTGAGCCAGTGCACTCTGTCCTGCAGCAGAGGCTCATAGAACTGGAAAATAGGCGTCTCCTGGCGGATGCTCAGCTGGTTGGAGCGCAGCACCCCACACGTGCGACAGCTGCCCCCACCCCCGTCCACCAGCACCTGGTACTTGAACGCGTTGAACTGTGTAAAGTTCATTCGTGGCGCCGTCTTCACCCCGTCTTTCACCATCGCATCCTGCGCGTCTCCCCTCGAGTGGGACCACCTGGGGGAAGCAGAGCAGACACCGCACACGGCGCCATGCGCGGGCAAAGGAGAGAGGGGCATGAGTGCTAGAGAATCCGGAGAGGAGGGTTGTGAGCTGGCAGCTGTCCCCGCCACCGTCCACCAGCACCTGGTACTTGAACGCGTTAAACTGCGTAAAGTTCATGTGCGGCGCCGTCTTCACCCCGTCCTTCACCATTGCATCCTGCGCGTCCCCGCGCGAGTGGGACCACCTGGGGGGGACAGGACAGGACGAAGCGCGAGGGAAGGAGGGAGGGGAGTGAGTGTGCGTCTAGAGGCGCTGTCACCACGCCGTCCTTCACCATTGCATCCTGCGCTTCTCCCCGTGAGTGGTGTGCATTGGAGATGCGGTGCACTTGCTCGCACATGGGGATTGGTGCTCCCGTTGAGGCGCCTCAGAAATACTCAGCAAGAGAGCCGCACTCACCTGTTGATGTGTGCGTCCATGAGGGACGGGTGTGCGTCGGAGATGCGGTGCAGGCGAATACGGGGGTTGGCACCCCAGTTGCCGTCTATCAGATGGTACGACGTGGTCTTGCCGCGGAACACTGCGCGTGCCTCCTTGCGCTCCCATGGGATCTGTTTACGAGGGGCGAGAGGGGAGGGAAGAGGGGGTATGGGGGAGAGGGGAGGAGAATGGGGCATGGATGGAGTTTTTGAGGAGCCTAAACAGTCGAAGTGGTGTTGCCACGGAACACTGCCCGTGCCTCCTTGCGCTCCCACAGGATATGAACGGAGAAGGGCATCGGGCATGGGCAATGGAGTATGGGGCATGGGGCATGGGGCATGGAGTATGGGGCATGAGGTATGGGGCATGAGGCATGGGGCATGGAGTGTGGGGCATGAGGCATGGGGCACGGAGTATGGGGCATGAGGCATGGGGCATGGAGTATGGGGCATGAGGCATGGGGCATGGAGCATGCAGCATGCGGAAGGTAAGTGGCATGAGGAATGCCTGCCAAGTCGGATGTCCATTCGCATGTGAAATTCAAGGGGGTCAGGGACGGGCATATCCATGCATGGTGCAGGGCAGAGCCGCTCATCACGAATATGGAGTCTCGACATGCCTGTGTACTTGTGAATCTTGAGTCAACTCAAAAATCGCCTCATCACATATGGAGTCTCGACATGCCTGTACACTTGTGAATCTTGTGAACCTCGACATACCTGTATCCGTGGTTCGTTTTGAGACGTCTCATGGGAGGGGACGCCATGGTCATCATGGGA